AGGTGCAGATAAATTTGGATCGTTAGTTCCGGTTGGAGCAGGTGCAGATAAATTTGGATCGTTAGTTCCGGTTGGAGCAGGTGCAGACAAATTTGGTGTAGTGTTATTTGGATTGTTATTTCCGGTTGTAGTAGGTTTACTTTTTACGACGTGTAAGACACCCTTCATATTGTCGTCACTACAGTGTGAACCTACACCACAGAAAAAATAGACATTTTTTATGTTTGGAGGTATTGTGAATGTTGCATTTTGACCAACTTTAGTATTGGAATCGCCGATTACTGTTTATTAAATAACAAGTTAGAATGAGAAGTTTATACGATAAAGACAAAGGTGGATAAGAATAATATATATTTACTAGCATTTTGTATTCTGCTAGATTGTGAGCAGAGTTTAGGCCCATCTGCTTGAATAACGCTGTGCGGACTATTAGCCCATGTGAATATGACCTATAGTTTTGTCAAAAGAGAGAACAATATTAAACTAAACATATTTCTTGTTCGTTTATGAGGAAGCCATTAGAATTAGAATACTTACAACATCACCCACGGATACATTAAGTTTTGACGGAGCGAACTTATTTTTCCCATCCTGGCCAACCGTAATTTGGAAATCCTTGGCAGAAATAACAGCCAAAGTTATTAATAACAAAATTAGAAGGGTAAAGAAGCTTAATTGTGGCATTTTTTTTAAATAATTTCTTGAAAGAAAAAATTTTTATTTTATGTAAAAGACAAATTGCTATCAATGAATAAGCTTTTATTTTATTTTTTTTTTATAGATATAAAAGAAATTGGTCAGTCTATTTATATTGAATTCCAGACATATTTCTCGTTTAATTGTTAAATAGTTCGAACTTAAATAGTTCGAACTATTAATTAATCAATTAACAAAATATCGATTCGTTTTGTTTATGTATATGGTTAATTATTCTTTAGATCATAAAGATTTCTAAGAACTTTTACGAATATATGGTACAGTACATTATTATTATTTTATGTCACGAGTGTATCATTGTTATCTTGAACGGTTCTACTTATTTCGTGGATAATCACTTTATGGACATGGACAATTACAGCTCATTTCATCATAAAGCAATTATTTTAGAATTAGAGTTAGAACTATGCTTAAGGTTAGTGCAATTTAAAAAAAACCTATATATGAAATAAACTACGTATCGGCATAAAAATTACCCAAAAGAATAAGTTATTGACAAATTACGTTGTAACAGGTTATGTCGATTATCCTGATTGTCTTCCATATGATATTTCCGATCGGCAAGTAAAGAATGAATATGGTTGCTAATTAATCATCAGTAAATAAACTTTTACGAAGTGATTGTCGGTAAAGTTACACAAATCCCTGAAAATAAATGAACTAGTCTTTCGAAAACTCATTTGTAATAAATGATGTACAGTAATAATTTGAATCCGTTAGAAAAGATTTTAAAAAAAATTTAAAGATAAGCGAATTTCGCTAATAATATGCGATATTTGAAATGAACCATAAATGGATCAATAGACTTACTGATTATGTTGGGAATTAGTATTAAAATAGCTTTAGTCGTTGGAAACAAAGTTTCCACTTATACACATCCCGTGAACTTGATGATATTTGTTTTAGATATTTTGAAATATAATGCTTAATAAAAAAATTTTAGCTCTGTCTTTATAGTAACAAAAAAGTAAGTTGTGTAGTGATGGTACCCGGGTTGGTATCATCCGGGTTATCCGCAGATAATCGGATATCCGGGTTATGAACTCAGCTACCCGGATAAGCATAC